GACAGTTTGAAGGGAGCCAAAGTTTATTAGAAATTAAATCAGGATTCTATTTTACTCTGGAGCTTAAATTTTATTTATACAGCACCAAATCACAACAACAGCCGTCTAAGGCGTTTTATATAGTCAGGTAGACCTTACAATGATACTTACAGAGAAAAACCCAACAATTATATGACCTTTGGCGACGGTGGGAAGGAAAAACTCCCTTTTAACAGGAAAAAACCTCCGGCAGATCCAGGCTCAGGGAGGGGCGGCCAGCTGCTGTGACTTACAACCCTCAGTAAGAGGTGGAAGCAGGGCTGAGTATACTTGCGTCTCCTTTAGAGTACCTGGCCTTCTTGGTGCTTGGAAGGTGCCCATCCAGACTCCATTACGGACATCGGGGGAGCATGCTTGGGACAAGCGTAGTCTGAACCCGAGTGATGTTCTATTACTCAGCTCCTGTGTTAATAACTCTTATTGATAAGGAAAACCGTGTTCATGCTGCAGGTTGATTTTGTAATCAAACCATCAAATGTCTTGGACACTCAGCTAGAGAAAGGGACTGTGCTGTCAGCTGATCACCACCTGATGGTGACATGGAGCAGGCGCCAAGTTTTATTTTGCAGGCATTTTAATCTGTAATAAATATGTGAAACTGTAAACAAGCACTTTGGTTCCTTTGGAAAAGTCTGTGCATCTCTGGAAACTAAAGGTGAGCGCATTGTTGCTTTTCTTTGTAATGTTTTTTGTTGTTGTTGTTTGTGTGTTGTTTTTAAATGTGCTTATAAATAAATCAATTGATGTAAATATGAAAAGATGCTGATGTTCAGTCTTGTTCACATGTTTGACATACTACAGTTTATTAATAGTGGGGTTTTTCTCATGTTATTTCTTTTTAGGACATTTACAAAAACACTTTCTTGTACAATGTCTTTGTTAAAGAGTGAAACAACTTACAAAGAAGACACACAAACATACGCAAGAAACACACACATGCACAGCCCTAATCTGCTTTTAAGACTGATGTAGCTAATTTTGTGGAAAAGTAATCAAGCTGACATGCTCACATGCTGTATGGTGTGGGCGTCTGAGAGAAGGGCGCCATGCTGTGCTGCCCTTTTAAGAAGTGATGAAATATGCTAAAGCAAACTCAGTAGGCAAAGTAGATTCAGGCTCTGCTGAAAGAAGTCAAAATCTAACACAGTCTCTGATTTTCAGGTTTTTTATTATCATCGATGACCTGGGTCCACACTCTGATGTCACACTTCTGGGGTCTTATGGGGTTTGTGGGTGTCCCTGGTGGAGGAGGTTTAGCTGTTTAGCTTTTAGTTGGAAGCCAGGATCTGGTCGACCCACCCACGGAGCTTGGTGACTCGGGCGTAGACAGCAGGAGTGGAGGTGGAGCAGCGGCTGCTTCCCCAAGATACGATACCAACCAGAGTCCACACGTTGTCCTTTTGACAGACCAGAGGTCCACCAGAGTCACCCTGAGAAAGAGAGTAATGAACAACAAACAAGTGATGACCAACAGGTACGTGGAAGCGTCCAACACTAGAACGGGACAAAGTGTGTGTGAAGAAAATCTGGAATGGTTTCCAGGTGGGTGGGCGGGTCCTTACCATGCAGGAAGTGGCACCAGCTCCACCGGCACAGATCATGACGTCAGAGATGTTGCTGCCCCAGTGTTTCTTGCACTCCTCGTTGGACAGCAGAGGCAGGGCGGCCTGCTGTAGGTTATTGGGAGTACTGGGAGCTGTGGGACAGTAACCATGGAACATTTTTGTCATAAATGCCTGTCACACTGATAATACACATAGTTTGTCTGATAATATTTCTGATGGAGAAATACGTGAACCACAACTTTTCCAACTTGACAATTTGAGCAGAATTAACTGTTAGCAGAACGTTTTTGTTGGTTAAAGAAAGAAATAAACTGCACTGAGGGTTAAACTCAGACTGCCCTCTCCTCCTGTGCAAGACATCTCACCGTTGTAACAAGTCAGACCCCAGCCGGTAGTGACGCATTTCATGCCAGCAGCGAACCTGTCGGTAGTGTCGGCAAGGCAGACGGGAGACACGTTGGTGCCCAGGCGAGCAGGGCTGGCCAGCTTGATCAGGGTGACATCATTGTTGATGGTTTGGGGGTTCCAGCTGGGGTGAGTGAAGACCTGTGAGAAGTATGGAGGGAGGGGTTAGATATGGGAAAAGTGCATGCTCTGAAAGCTCGTTGGTTGATGATTGGTTCTCACCTTGGTGGGCTTCAGCACCTGTGGAGCCATAACCCTTATTGTGCTCTCCAACAATCACATTGTGGTAGGTCCTAGCAGTAGGATAGGAATGCAACTTTTAAATGTCAAAACACACAATGAAAAAGTGTTATTATTCAGTCCACAGACACGCTATCCTCATACCACAAATACCTGTTGAAAGGGAATTTATCCATAGCAGTCCAACACAAAAGCAACGTTGTCTGTCTGTCAGACAAAAAGTCTACAATAATCAGCTGTTTTAGGAATTTAATAAGCCAACTGTAAACCTCGAGCTGTTTTTATGGGTTTGTATGTTTGTGCAGAACTGAGTCACACAAAGGAAGTCGCACTGTCGGTTGGAATAGATGATGATATTTGTCTGACTCGTTTTTTAAACTTTTGCATCTTAAGCAGCAACCAGCCGCAGACAGATGTGTGAGCTGATGTGCTGAGGTTTTCTCCTGCTGACCTGACGTTACAGTGAGCAGCAGTCACCACCCACTGCTCGCTGATCAGAGATCCTCCACAGAAGTGGAAGCCGTTGGTTTGCTGTGAGGAAAACAAGAGCAAACTCAGATAATGAAGAAGGAGAAGGAGAAGAAGCTGCTTGCGATTGCTGAGGTCACCTGCAGAGACACCTGTCAGGGCCAGGAGTGAGGCACTGCCTCCTCACCGTTGACAATGCGGGCACAGCCAGTGACCTGGGGAAGGATGGCAGGGGTGCCACAGCCTGAGGTTTTGACACAAAGAGAACAAACCACTGACCGTTTGAAGTACTTCAATATCTAACTGCACAGTAATCTTTGCAACTGAGAGCTGATCATCTCACATGCAGTTACTGTGGCCCGCCTAAACTAATAATCAACTTTTTATTAAAAAAATACAGATCTTCTAATTCATGCAGCAGTTACACATTTAACTTTTAAAAAGTAATAAAAGTGCAGAAAACTTGAGTCAAAGTCAAACTTTGAAAAAAAACTGAACCTGGCACTCTCACCGTAGGCAGCGCTGACAAAGGCGAGGCAGGAGACGATCCAGAGGAAGGCCATGGTGGTCATGGCGATGAAGGGTCAAGCTGCTGTTTTATCTCTGCAGCGTGTTGGACCGTAGCCAATCAGAAGTGTCTTACAGTTTCCTCCTCAAGTTATCAGAGCTCAGGCGATCGTGGGATTCTCACGACCCTGACGAGCAGCTCTGTGATTGGCTGAAAAACGTAAAAAACCAAAATGTTGACGACTGTTTTACTCGGGAACATCTATAGGTGCTCATGTAGTTTTATCAAAACCCAAGTTTGTTAAATTAAGCAGATGGAAAATTCAAGAAAACGATGAGAAACGAGGCTGAAAACAGGTTTAATTTCCGGCTGTTTAAATACAAACAATATACTGCAATCAAAGCAAGTATATGGAGTGTATATATGTTTAATCAAAACCAGATTATATACAGAAACGAGTCATATTCAGCAGTATCTTCACTGCATTTTAACTTGTCTTCATAGTATATAGTTATCTTTATTTGCTTGCTTTGTGTTTTCCATCATGTTTCTGTATTTATCTCCTGTTTAAAATGCATACGTGCTCGCTCTGCGGTAATCTACCGCTGCTTATAAATGTACTCTCGGAATAAACGCATCTCGGTATCATATATTGTTTTTCTGTTAGTGGAGCTTCAGTTTAGAGCTGGAACAACGCAGCTCAGTGTGAATGAATCAGCTTTTGATTTGAGTGTGTCGTGCTTGCTAAATCCACTTGGAGTAACAGATGAAATAAATAGAATTTCTATTGAATAACAGAGCACCAGATATCTGTGGTGTAATAAAACTATTAGGCACCCATCACTTCATTTATTGGGAAACAAAATGATTCATGTTTCTGTGAACCAGATACTACACAACATTTTTTTTTGTATAAATTAAATGATAAAACCCTTTTTGTACCTTGATTAAGAGTGCAGTATTTATTTATTAGTCTCTTTTCCCCTGTCATGTCTATGTTATTCTACTAACACTGTTAATGCTTTGTTTAACCTTAAGGCTTAACCTTTTAATGGAGAATTGCAGGGATTAAAACATCATTTTTATGATGCTAAACAAGATAAATTCAATTATTTTAACCTTCAAATCACCACAAGTGGACATTTATGACTCAGCTGTATGTTAAAATGTGCTGTTGTGATCATTTAATGGGACAATGCTCCCTGTCAGTTTCAGTTTTCACAGGTATTATATTTTATTATATTAGTGTAGCTAAAATCACAGGGAGTATCACAGGGTTTGTTTGTTGATAGATTTGCTTTGAATTTGTTTAACTATTTTAAAATTTGTCATTATTTCCACAGTTATGGTTTAATAAAGTGTGAAGTAACAATCTATGCAGAAAGAGTGGGACTAATTGTTGTTCATCAAAAGGTAATGAATAATTTACTCAAACTTGCCATAGGTTTTATCACGTTTTCACTAGTGATACATATAATATTTGTTTTGTAAGAAGTAACTGACACGGACTGTTTAAATAAATGTAAATGTGTTTGAACAATTTGGTTTTTAACTCTTTCTTTGCATAAATAAAATAAACTCCCCTCCTTTAGTTCATTAAAATATCTGGGTTGCTTAATGGTTGAGCAAACAGTCTATTTCCACCAGGCTGACGGTGCACGCTGCATATTTAGACAGTACAGTCGGGCAGCTGTGACTCTGACATGTTGCTTTTGTGGGATTATTAATAAGATGTGAACCAAGAAAAGTAACACATTTAAAATTAGCATTAAAAATATGAACATTTTAACTGTCAAAAGTTTCTGTTGTTTCAGGTTTTTCTAACACAAAAATGTGAATCACTTTCATACAGTATCTCAAATGACTGGCTTTGGTTTAAAATTCACTTGATTCAGTTCTGTTTCTCTGGACCACAGTGTTTATTTGGATCTCTTTTTTAATTCTGCCTGGGCTGTTAAAGTGCTTCACCTCAGAATATCAGGATCCACGCAGATCCAGCCTCTGCTGGTCCTGAAAGTGCTGCTGTGAAACGCTCGATTGTCAGCACCTGAAGATTGGGAAACCTTGTTTCCATGCACCAGGTTAATGATTGGTCAGAGTGAGGCAGGTGGAGGAAGATCACTCATTGGTTCCTCTAATCTCAAAGGCTCTATGACAAACATTTTTCTCAGCTTTTTGTACTTTTTGTACTTTTGCCCAGGACTGCTGTATCACTTCTCCTGAAATCCACCACGATAACTGCAGTAAGACTTCTCTGACACCAGGGGGCAACACGGAGTCAACAAAGACTTCAGCCAAGTTGGATCCTGCGCGCTGCGTGAGTCTTTTAAACGTTCTTAATGAATTTGTAATAAATGATGAACATGAACATTTTTTCCTTTTGTTGTTGCTCCAGAAAAAATGTCACTGCAGTTAAAATCTTTTCTTTTTCAAATAAAACCTGTCCCATAACCAATTATTGTTTTTATAAATGTATAAAAACAATAATTTATCATTTATAATGTATAATTAATTAAAATAATTAATGAAAGCAAAGAAAGAGAGAGAGAGAGAG